GCGCAACTGAGCAGGATTGAGCCTATGGGTCTTGTTTTGATGATCGGGACGACATGACGCGACGCGACAACGACAAGGCAGGTGCCAGAGATAACGAACAGGCCCTGGTCACAGACAGAAGGGGCAGGCACCTCGCGCTCGTTGGCGCAAGGGTGGTGTTTTGGTTTTGGGTGTGGAAAATTGACTGGCACCTAGGTAGGTACAGTAAGGTAGGTAGGTACCGACCTAGGTAGATGAGATACGGACGGATCGGGTGCGTCACGTGATGTGGTGTTGATTATGGCCTTGCCTTTCCCCTTGTTTTCTTTCTTGCTGACGGCTGGCGTCAAGGTTCAGTGCGTGCGGTATGTTGAAGCACGAGTAAATTGTTTGCTTCGGTCTCGTGTTGGGCATATATATGAAGTGTTTGGTTCGTTGCAGGCGAGGGCCTGTTTGCCAGGCGGCATTCGGTAGCCGCGACTCTGCACTCTCGATTCGATATCGGGTCATTCATGGAAATCTGCTGCTGTACAGTACTCCATCAAGGAGAGCGTCTACAGAGCCACCTGATGTGTAGGCAAGCCAAGCAAGACCTGGTTTTGCACCTCGTCGCCAAATACATACACACATACAGATCGAACTTAATCAGGTGCCTACGCGCAGACCCAATTACAGCAGCAATGGCATTGTTTCGCCTTTGTCGCCAGCAGCACACCTGTTGAGTGGACAGAAATGCTGATTCTTTGATGTCCCGCTCTCATCGTCTGTGGCCAGCTGGGAGCACGAGGGTGGCAGGCGGCGTTGACAGCTCGGCTTGGCTCTTGCGGGGCTCTCGGCAACCTCTCATGACGCCCCCGGATCAGCGGACGGCAGTGCGGGGAAGCACAACCGGGGTACCTGCCGTGAGCACCTAGTGCCTGGGTAGGTACCTAGGTCGGCAGGCAGCTTGGGGAACTGGAGGCCCATGAGACGTCACATTCTCGTAGTGCTCGCCCTCTTTCCTGGACTACATCCCTTGGGCCAGCAAATCATTATGCCCCCATGGCCGAGGAAGAGCCCGCCAACAGGCTTAAAGACGTTGCATGCCGCCTCTCTGGCCAGATCAGCAGCATATCGTCACAACCCTCTTACCACCACAGCCATGCCGCAGTCCTCGAGACCATCACACCCTCAGGACGATGTGCATCGTCAGTCCCTTGAGGACCCAACATCGTTTTGGGGCCGGCAGGCCGACCATCTCTATTGGCACAAGAAACCTTCCTCGACCCTGGTCCAGGCGAAGACGACCCTCGGGAAGAGCGGCGTCACTCATGCAACCTGGTCTTGGTTCCCAGATGGGCAGATCTCGACGTGCTACAACTGCGTTGATCGCCACGTCCTTGCCGGTCATGGTCACCATCCCGCCATTTTTTACGACAGTCCTGTGACCAAGACGAAACAGACTCTAAGTTATGCACAGCTTCTCGACGAGGTCGAGGTCCTTGCTGGCGCCTTACGAGAGGAGGGTGTCAAGAAGGGCGATGTTGTGCTCATTTACAGTGAGGATATTCTTTCATCTCTTTCCATGTTCTCCATCGAGCCTTGCTCTGCTCACACAAGTCAGTGCCCATGATTCCTGCTGCCCTCATAGGCATTCTCGCTGCGAGCCGTCTCGGCGCTGTGCACGCCGTCGTTTTTGGTGGCTTCGCCCCTGCCGCCCTGGCCCAGCGGATCGAGGCATCCCGGCCCGTGGTTATACTGACGGCATCGTGCGGCATCGATGGCGCCAAGGCACCGGCCGCGTACCAGCCCCTCGTCGAAGAAGCCCTTCGTCTATCTTCGCACAAACCCCTTCGTGTCGTGTCCTGGCACGCGACGAAGTCGGGTGGCATCCTATCAGCCGCAACATAGGCGAGCGAAACTGGCAGAGCATGTCAGAGAGCTAGCCGTGCTCGCAATATCAGAGCGGCATGCGTGCCCGTCGCCTCGTCTGACCCTGTATACATCATCCATACATCTGGGACTACGGGTACTCCCAAGGGCGTGAGGAGGGATGCAGCCGGTCATGCGGTCGGGCTCCAACTCTCAATCAAGTATCTATTCGACATCCATGGACCTGGTGATGTCATCTTCACGGCGTCTGATATCGGATGGGTTGGTTGCCTCCTCTCCACCATCGACACAGTCTTGCTGATAATATCTAGGTTGTTGGACATAGTTTCATCGCCTATGCCCCTCTCCTAGCCGGTGCTGCGACAGTTCTCTACGAGGGCAAACCAGTCGGCACGCCTGACGCATCTGCCTTTTGGCGAGTTGTCGAAGAATACCGTGTAACTTCCATGTTCACCGCCCCGACAGCTCTACGTGCCATAAAGCGGGACGACCCCGAGAACGCGCGCCTCAAAGACATTGGCAACCGCCGGGGCCTCCGTTCACTCCGTGCCCTTTTTCTCGCCGGTGAACGATCTGAGCCCGCCATCATCTCAGCCTACCAGGAATTGCTCGACGAGTACGCTGCGCCCCCGGACGAGGGCGGATCCCACGTCATCGACAATTGGTGGTCTACTGAGTCAGGAAGTCCAATAACGGGTCGTGCTCTCGTACCTCACGTTGCTATTGACGCGAAAAGGACTGGTCGTCACCCACCCATCGGCATCAAGCCCGGTAGTGCAGGTAAGGCAATGCCAGGCTTTGACGTGCGGATCGTAGACGATGAGGGTAACGAGGTCCCGCGAGGCACTATGGGCAACATTGTCTTAGGGTTGCCCTTGGCTCCGACGGCATTCCGAACACTGTGGGAAGACGAGGAACGGTTTTACAAGGGCTATCTAAAGCGGTTCGAGGGGAAATGGGTTGACACTGGCGATGCTGGCTTCATTGATGAAGAGGGCTACGTCAGCGTCATGAGTCGCAACGACGACGTGCTTAACGTGTCAGCACATCGTCTATCTAGCGGTATGTCCCTATCTCCGTGCCACGACCCTCGAAGCTCCGACTGACGTGATACTAGGTTCCCTCGAACAGGCCATTACCTCTCATCCTTTGGTCGCTGAGGCCTGCGTCGTGGGCGTCCCAGACGCCCTCAAGGGCCAGCTGCCGTTTGCGTTCGTCACCCTCTCTGTTGCCTCGCATCCCACCACTGCAGTGCCGGATCCCGCGCTAGAGAAGGAGATCCAGGAGCTTGTCCGCGCACAAGTTGGTGCCATTGCGACGCTGGGGGGCGTGGTCCAGGGTAAAGGGATGATCCCCAAGACTAGAAGTGGCAAGACCTTGAGGCGAGTGCTGCGGGAGCTGGTGGAGAATGCATCCAAGGGGGATTTTGAGAAGGAGGTCAGCGTGCCCAGTACGGTGGAGGATGCGGCTGTTGTTGATGTTGCAAGGAAGAAAATCGGCGAATACTGGAGAGTCAAGAGAAGTGAAGGCAAGGCAAAGCTCTGATGGATTGCGCATGCTGGGTCTGTTTACATTGACGTTCTTTCGTAACTAGATCTTCAAGCAATTTAGCGTTCTTTTGCCTGTTCTGGTCAAAAACTTATCTGCCCGTCTTCCTTTCAGTGGTTTCAGCATCTGGCTTTCCCGTGAATTTGCCTGCAAGCATACGTATTGGCTGGGCAGTTTATAGCACGGAAGGTACCACTGGCAGTTGGTATCTGCTCTGTTACCTGTCAAGCAGCATGCCGAGGCGTGTTGGTTGTCCAATAACTGTGCAGTCGGCAACAAATATCATCTTGCACAGCTCTGTGGACTGTACGCAGATTTTGATGGGAATTCACTTGGTGGCAGAATACGAGACCAGGCTCACCTGTTTATGGTATGTATACCCTGGCGATATTCATGGAGGGGTCTCTATCAGTTGTTCATCTTACACCTCTCAATTTGAGTTTTCAATGAACAATTTTCAATAAACAACAAACATATTGAAGGTGCTACTCGCCACTGGAACACCACTTCCTCGAACAAAAAGACGACACTGGACCGCGTCATCCTTTTCCCCTTAGGAAAACCACCAACGGACACCAGCATGCGTTTCCCTAGTCACGTTCCCCAAACCCAGAGCTACAACATGACCCGAAGCAGTGCGTCCCTCCCCCTCCCTGCATGCCGTAGCCATACCGCCCTAGCTCAACAGCATCAATGCCGACAGAGACCTCGTATAAGCCTATCTTGCTTTTCGCCATCAAGATCGCCCGATGTGAATCAAGACGGCGCGGCCAATGAGATCACACTTGTCGGCCGCCTAGGCCCCTCGTGGCCTTGACACGACAGCACGCCCTCCATACCGTACGACGCCCGCTTCTTCCTTGGGGATAGAACCCTCTTCTCGTTGTCAGCCATGTCGTACGGCAGCGACCTTGGGTCTCGAGCACGGGATGAGGAGAGGAGGAAACGAGGACGAGAGACGCAGTCGTTTCACGGCATGTTCGTAGCACGGAGTTCAAACCATCTGCTCTGCAGCACGGTGCTGGCGGGTCGGTCTCGTGGTACGCGGCCGACGAGGGCGAGCCGAGAGGGGGTGTAGGGGGTTGGATGATCGGTTTTGCCACTCATGGTGTCCATCTTTGACGAGCCGCGTCCTTGTTGCGAGGAGCAGCTAAGAAGGACCCCGTCAGGTTTTTGGACTTTCCCTAGGCTGTTTATTTGCAGCGATGCAACGAGGCCGTTTGGTCGAGTCCTGTAGTCGGGGTGAGTTGTTGCGACAAACGTGACGGTGGGTTGTAAAGATGCTTGCTTGTCTGTCCGTCCGCGGATGCCGTGTGACGCTGCTGCGCGCTGCGTGGTATCACGGGAGTACAGATGGGGGTCTCCCTAGGAGGGCAGGGTTGGGTTCATACGTGCGTGTAGTGGGACGCACAAGGTGCTTGTTATGTTTGTTGAACGTCATGTCGGAATTGCCATGTTTACTCCTCACCAGTGGGAGCGTGGAAGTTGGCAGTATCGAGGACTCCTCAACTCCCGAGATGGAAGGCCAGATAGAACAGCGAAACACCTCTTATGCGCGAAGGAACGCTGTAGGCTACAAATATGGTAAATGGGCTTTAACAACAGAAAACGGAATATCTGTCGACCCAATAACACTGCTTCGCCATGTTCGCACTCAAAGCCAAGTACCTTGGGAAAGGAAGTCGAGAAGAGCAGAGGAGTGGGAACAGGAGGACCCGATAGCTGGCGGCCAAGTCAATCGCATGAAAGGCCCGGTAATCAGAGCTATAGATATGGTGACCAGCTACTGATCTGTCCGAGATTCCTTGGTGGCATAGAGCAAGTACGAGGATGAACGATATTCACAAACACATCAAAAGCCCGTTGACCATTAAACTCGTGCACCGAGGTCAGACCAAGAAGCTAGTGGCGCAAAACATGCCCGCGCACGCTTCAAGAAGATGACCAGTGTCATATTGTGAGAAAAAAAGCACGGCACACTGGGAGCTGTCTCGGCGAACACCCATGAATCACCCGATACAACTGAATGCGTCACCGGAAGTTTGCCGATCGAACACCATGAACCGACGAAAAGCAGTACAGCCAGCCTGCGCCCCATCCGAAAGCACAACCGTTCCCCATGTACCCGGGTATCAAAAGAGGCCGCAAAGCCAAAGTGCAAAAACGAAGACCGACGCCGTCCCCCCCCCCTTGCCCTTTGCCAGACTAAGACGCCGCACATGACGAGCTGGCCAGCGCCATCATGACGTTTTGAACGCCGAAGTAACAGACCCCGTCGTGTAGGTGCCAAGCACGCTCCGCTGTCCTTCCCTCGCCACCTTTAAGCCTGCAAAACCGCGCCCTCAGATAATCGTTTGCCGGCCTTGAGGCTCTCAAGAACCCTGCAGCGGTCAGCACTCGACAGATCAA